TTTTTGGCTGACTTCATCTTACAAAGAAATGTATAAACTCCTTTAGATTTACCCCAATGTTTTGATAGAATTGCAATCTATTGTTGTTGATCTTTCTTAGAGCGAAATTTTATCTTAAATTTCTTCTGTTTTGCAGCAAAATTTGATAAATATGATTTAAGTAAATCATTCATCACGAATATCGTAAGGAGTTTCAAGGACCCATTGAAGTTCGGTATTATTGAAGTTTGCGGCGTTGAGACACTGTGCTCATAGAGCTTTTTTTGTCCGCTCGATACCTCTTTTTCGACTGCTACGAGACACCGATTGTAAGTCCATCACGCTGTTCCCATCCAGTGTTTGAGTTTTGACTTCTCCTCTTGCATAGGGAAGAGACGGATACATTGTGTCTTGCCTGCTGGAATCTTGAAGCTCTTGTTCTTCTTGGGCTTTGGCAACTTCTTGTCTTCTTCTACGATTGGCGGCAGAACGCATTCCATTATGTCTTGTCACAAATACTGTGACGATTGAGAGTAAGTCTTCCGCAAGTTCTTCGGCTTCACTACTTTCAGCACTGACATCCGTACCGAGTACCACGAGCTGAATCCCATTTTTCTCAAAGATCCATTCCACAAGCTCGGATTTAAATCAGCACAATCGGTCCTAATAAAAAAAGTTAGTAAAATAATAAAGGCAATAAAAATCAGAGTAAATAAAAAAAATTAAACCTTTCGGGTAACCACCACTTCTTCGATTCCTTCTGTGTGTATTCATTCCAAAAAGGCAACAAACCACCTGCGTTTCCAGTTAAGTCCCGATCTGATATCACTGATGATTTCGTATTCTGGATAGTATTGTCGAAGATTTGCGATTTGTTGTTCAAAGTCATCTCGTTGATGTTCTGAACTGACTCTGGCATAACAGGTCTTGGCCTTTTGCGTGATTTGTGTCTGTTGGTTATCTCTAAAGATTTCTTGTATTTCAGTAATTGAATAGAGTTGTTTTCCACCAGGTGTCCTGACAATAGCAATTCTTCCGGGTAAACAGTCAAATGATAACCTCGTTCTTGCATTAACACTGTTCGAAACTTTCCTGCTTCTTGATACACTAATTTTCTCATGAGAAGTATCTTTTAACAAAATGTAGTGGATCCTTTTAATCTCATCAATGCTTACTTCCCGTTCTAAATTGTGCAATTTATTATTTAAGTAATAAGTTGAAAGTAAGTGGTTACGGATTTCAATGACTTCTTCTTGGATTTATCGGAAAGAGATCTTACATCTGGTAGCTGTATTTCTTCAGGTTCCAAGAGATCATCAAGATTATAGCCCTCGTTCATTCTGCTCCAAATTTTTTTCTGAATCTCCAATTCCTAATGAATTCTCTTTCATGGCGCAACTTTGGTGAGAAAAAGTTCTGAAGATGAGCGTTTGGAGTCACATTTAAGGGAATCGATCATTGGTAGAAAAAAATTATCTTTTGCTTGATAATCTATTGAGAAAGAAAATCGAATTAGCATTCCGACGAGAAAGATTGCAAAGAATCCGTGGTTCATACCATAATCCTGCGCACGCCATTCAAATGGGCAAAAGTAGTTCTCCCAAACCTTTTCAAAAATAGCAAGCTCATTACATTCAATCATACTTTTTTTCTCAATCCAAAGTTCATCCATCTTCTCCAATTCTTTTTCATTAACATTTATAATAACTTTACCATTTAAATTGTCATGATTTTGTTTTTTCTTTTCATACGATTCATTTGAACTGGCGTAATCATTTTCACCACCACTGATCGAAGTAATTTCTTATTCTTTAGATTGTTTGTGATGTTTGTGAGAGTTTGATTTCTTATGTTTTTTAGATTTGTTGATTCTCGATGTTTCCTCTCTTTTGAATTACTTTTTTTATCATCTATTTTTTTTTAAAAAAAATTATTTAAAAGTACATGTAATTCTGTTACATTATATATTCTTGCTATCTTTCGTTCTTTCAAAACTGATTTTATAAATATTTAGATTCTACCTTCTGAAGATATTGACGAATGGGAAAAGTCCTTTGAAACACTGATACTTCGAGATCGTTTCTTCTTTGGTAATTCTGATTTATCATATAGTAACCTATATAATGGGTAAAGTTTTTTTTTAATATAATAAAAGAAACATATATATACACATGTAAAATAACATACGTACTTGAGAATATTCTGGGGACAGTGGCTAAATGGAATAAGTTCTCTCTTGACGAATTCGTCTGCGTCTGATAACATAATAATAATAATAATAAATTAAATTAGAAAGAACAATGATTCAAGGAATAAAGAATTATAATCAAATAAAACTTACTGTTCAAATATCAATATAGAATTATTAGTTCTTCCCATTTTAAAAAAACTTCTTATACAGTAGAGTTTATAGTGTGTGTGAGAGACAAAAAATATAAATGTTATATAATCATTCCTAAATTTACTTGATCTAGAATTTTCACCAGCAGTATTGATTTATCTCAAAGAATGAAGTTAATTGTGCTTCATCACTAGTTTATTACAAAATTCCCCCGATTATTTTTTAACCATTATACGAAGTAAAATTATAATTATACATTTTTTTTTCTTTTTCAGATGTATGCGTGAACTCAATAAATCAAAAATAATAATGTAATGAACATTTTCAAATAAAAATAATGATTTCAATTTTATTATTTTATTTTATTCATTAAGAAAATATTTACAAAAATATAAAATAGTTAATTCAAAATTTCTTTTTTCTATCTTCCGCTTTTCTATCAATAAAATTATAAAATGCTTACATTATTATCGTTTCTTGGTTTCCAGTTCGCGTTAAGAAAACTACAAATAGAGAGACGACGCACAGGTGTAGGTCTATACGCCGCCGTTAGCATTAAACAACAGACAAATAAATATAAGAAATAAAATAAATAGAAAACACCCACCTCACATCTAAATCTTCAAATCTTCTAAATATTCTAAAGTTTCTTTCTTCCAAACC